ATATTATCAGGGATAATTTATTGCAATGATTCCGCTATGTGATCATACATGGCCCAAAGGGATGTAACGGAGTCAAGCATCCATTGCAGGGTGCTTCTGATTATTTATATCACAGTGCAGCAACGTATTGCTCCCTTCTCTCCAAAGAAAAAGGGCGACATGCATTGCGTGTTCTTTGCACATGCTCACTGGAGAAAAGGTTTAGCGCTGGATCCTGCCCCTGTAAAGGGACCAGCAAATCTCTTGCCAGTTCTTCTTCAGACACCCTACAGTCTATAGCTGGCATTTAGATGATGTTACTCTGTTTTGTACCTCTCCTCTGGGAACTCAAACACTCTCTAAGGAGGACAAGAAAGGATCGCCTTTGTTTGTCGCCATTGTTGTCATGCACCCCCCCACCAGTTAGTCTTGTTTGCTGGCGACTCTCAGAGTGACCTATCACTGAGCCCCACAGGGGGTAGACATCATAGCACAGGATCACACCGCTAGGCTGAGCTGCGACTCTAAATTATTCATCATAGAGAGCAGAGGATGACACGCGTCCAACGGTCTCTGTTCTGCTTTCATCTTTGTCTCCCTGCACAGCTTCTCCCGTTATTTCCTTCTCTATTTTAGTCCTCTTTCATTTCCTCTAAGGCTTGCAATTATTTTTTATCAGTCCATTAAAATCAATCTGTCGTCTTACTGACCTCACCGAGTCACATTAAAGCCTGGACCATGGGTGTAACGAGATGTGACCTGGCCCCATAGCGATCCTTTTTAGGGCTCTTGGATCTTCAATTTTCATCTTAAAAAGGAATCTTCGGTGTTTTTGAAGTTTATTACTTTTATATGGGAATGGGATCAACTGAAAAGGGCACTGTGGTGTATATCAAACATTTCAGGTTATTGTAGCCTTTACCTAAAAGGAGCTTTTAATGAGGATTTCACATTTTGCAGGCTTGTCACTGAGTAATTTTATCATTGTCTTTTATTATTTGTGGATTAGTCCTCTATTGGCTGTCTGTAGATTAGGCAGTCACTTGACTTCCTTGCTGAACCATCTAGACCACGGATGTCAAACTGGCGGCCCACCAGCTGTTGCCAAACTACAAGTCCCATGAGACATTGCAAGATTGACAGTTACAAGCATGACTTCCAAAGGTAGAGGCATGATGGGACTTGTAGTTTGGCAACAGCTGGAGGGCCACCAGTTTGACACCACTGATCTAGACCATAGGTGTCAAACTGGTGGCCCTCCAGCTGTTGCCAAACTACAAGTCCCATGAGGCATTGCAAGATTGAGAGTTAAGGATCTAAACAATTTGTTATCCCTGATCAGCCATTGCACACTGCTAGACTTGCACTGTGGGGAAGAACAGTCAAATACAGTCACTATGCAGCACTAATAAAGTTACCCATAGACATGAGATAACAGCTACACCTAAGCTAGTCTGGTTTTGTAAAAAATGTGTCTGTCCACATGTATATGTAATCACAGATTATATATTTATTTAAATATTATATATAGAAACAAGCAGGGATTTTTTTCTCAGAGAATAGGTGCAAGAACTTCCCCCCGAACTCCACCCTTCTGAGTCACTTCTGGTCTCTATCCCCCCACCTTCAAGCACACTCCATTGGTTCCACCCCCTATCCACCTCCCAGTACTGATCCTTATAGAGAATCTAGAGCCAAGTATCATTTTGTGGTGCTAAATAACTTGTATGGAGTTTGTTAATGCTAACAATAAAGCAATAAAACCCCCAGCAGTAGATTCCCCCAGCAACAATGGACCTCCACAACAAAATACCACCCCAGTAACAATAGACCCCCAGCAGCAACAGATCTTCCAGCAGCCAGCATTAATAGACTCTCCAGCAGCCAGCAACAATAGATCCTTTTCTCAATTGTAGATCCATTTCAGCAACAATAGACTGCCACACAAAGATATATCCCCACCAGTGACAATAGATCCCCCAGCAGCCAGCAGAACAGACCTTCCAGCACCCCTTGCTATTACGTACATTCAGTACTGGAGGTGCCGGAACTGTGTTCCCCCACGTTCCTACTGAAAAAATACCCTGGAAACAAGGCACTGAAAGATTATTTATTTTAAAGGGCCAGGCCACCCAAAAGTGATATTTTAGTTATAGGTTAAAGTGCATCTATGGTCAAAAGTGAATATATTATATTAATTTCCACATTATATATCAGTTATTTCTAGCCTGCTCCTGTCAATCAGAATGATCTAGAAGTTTGTAAACTAACTTTTTGAAGATCCCCACATATTTGCTACCTTAAAGAGTACAGTACCCCCCCCCCCCCAAAAAAAAAATGTCTGCAGTCAGGGAGTGGGGGTGGGAAGCTAGGCGATCCAAGCGGAAATGGGAGTGGGTACCTGTCAAAGCCAGGTGACCGCCACCCCAAACAAAAAATAAGTCTGGGTCACACATTTCACAGAGTCTGCCTTCTGAGCTGCAGAGTTACTGAGAAGAGGAGTTTCAGGAGGTGGAGTCAGTACAGGAATCATTGCTTGCAGGCAGCAAGGTACCATGGGACATATAGTCCTTAGAAATGGAAAGTAAACAGTAGAAGAGAAGCTGCAAAGCATGTAGGGAATTCAGGAAAATGTGGAAAGAGATGACCAGCAAACAGAACTCACAACATGAAAGGAGATTTTTTAAGTAAGCGTATATTGGATTGTCAAAAAAAAAAAAAACTATTGTTTGTACTAATATTACAATATTATTCTTATAAAAATGAAATTGTATGTAGTGATCAAAGATTTCCTTTTAGACACGAACATTTTATTTTACTTTCCAATGCATTTTGCAAATTTCTGATGGTTTATCACTAAACATTTTGGTGAAATGAAATCTCCAACTCTGCTCAGACCTACTACATAAAATACATAATAATCTAACAATGATGGTGGCTACTTCTTGTAGTGGCCACAGTAAGGGCTTGTTCACACTAGCTTTGGTATCTGAAGAGCAATCCACATTCAGATCTTAGAGAATTTGAAAGATGGTGGTGAGGCGTTGTATAGCCTTCTCACTGCCCGCTTTAACCCCTTCAAGCCTGCACCAGCAGGCCCCAATCACATGCATTGCCAAGTGGCAGGAAGTATAATTCCTGCCACAACCACAAAGCAAAGCTTTATGGCTGTGGCACCTGTACACCACCTCATTTGCTGTCTCTGCAGCTAAAGTTAGCGATTGGGAGGTGGTAAAAACAAGACCCATCACAGGGTTTTACCACCTTTCAACCACTATTGTGAATGAGCCCTAAGTGTGCATATCTGGGAACTCGACACAGTCGATCGAGTCAATCGAGTCCCCGAGAAACAAGAAACTCTACCACATCCACTTGAAATATCAGTTTTGGGTGGCTTGACTGACCATAATACAAGCTAGCATTGACTCTTTTTAATTTTTTTTTTTTTTTTTTTTAGGAGATTTCAGTTGTTTGTACCCAATATTTTTCTTTTAAAAAAAAGTGTGCCTTGCTTTATAGGGAGTTTGCAAAAGAACGAGAGAGGGTGGAGAACCGGCGGGCATTCCTCAAGCTCAGGCGCCAGCAGCAAATTGAACGTGAGCTCAATGGCTACCTTGAGTGGATCTTCAAGGCAGGTAAGCTGATTGTACCCCAGCCTTGTATACTCAAATACAATGGATTTTCTTCCTAACTCCAGAGCTCAGGGGGTAATTATTATTATTTTTTTTTTTTGCATATGTTTATTGTAGCGCCAGGGAGGAGATGGCATGTCTGCAAAGCAAAATACATACTGGCTGGTGACCTAGTGGTTTCCACTGTGGCCTGGCAGCACTGGGGTCCTGTGTTCTGTTTCCAATGTCCTTCCTATGTGGGTGTGTTCTCCCACAGTCCAAAAACATACTGTAGGATCAAAAGGCTTCTGAACAAATTGACCTTACAGTGTATGTGACCATGAGGGGAAGTTAAAGTGCAAGCTCCTCTGGTGCAGAAGGTGATGTTAATGGTTCAGTGTTGTACAGCACTGCAGAATATGTCAGAGCTAAATTAATGTATATGTGTAATAATAATAATTAGTGCGTAATTGATTAGGGGAGCATTAGCGTGTACGCCCCTCTGGTGCACAAACTGATGTGAGTGGTTGGGTGTAGTCTGTTCAACACTGTATAAAATGCCAAAACTTTAGAAATTTATAATAAAACTGAAAATAATACAACCTCCTGTGCTCAGGAGAGATTCTTAAAATGTAAATTAACTTTTTGCTAATCCAGATCTACTTCCACTCTCCTGTGTCCACCAGGCCTTGCTGCCTGCCTCAGATTGGGGTAGTCCAAACACACACCAAGAGAGGGTGCTCCAGCCTAGTGCATTATCTTTAGACACCGTTTATTAGAAAAGAGAAAATAGGTGATTATACTCACAAACTGATAAAAAGTAAAAGTTCATCACAAATATCCAAATACACACACATCCGCTGAGCATACTTGTATCATGGGAAGATGTCACACGTCTGCAGATGTGAACATGTTTCGAGGGGGATCCCCTCTTCATCAGCTCTGATGAAGAGGGGACCCCCTCGAAATGCTGTAGCATCTGCAGACCTATGTGACATCTTCCCAGGATGCAAGAAGTATGTTCAGTGGTTGTGGCAACTCTTTATCTGTATATTTGTGGTGAACTTTTCCTTTTCTGTCAGTTGAGTGTAATCATCGATTTCCTCTTTTCTAATGTCCAAAGTCACCCTCAGTGGGTTCCAAAGGGTGGGCTGTGATACTGGGACTGCCAGTGGTGCTGAGCTGGAGAATCCCTTGTTGGGCAGTACAGGGAAAACGGCTACTTGGTGGGGAATTCAGAGCGAAGTGATTCTTTCCCTCATTACTGGAGTGTAGAGGTTTCCCATATTTATCTGCAAAATGGATACAAGTCCTATGCATAGTATAGTCAGTAAATACAAACAATACTTTTAACATCACTTCTCATCCTTATTACTTCTGTCTGCTTTATTTTTCTATGCAGAGGAAGTCATGCTTGCAGAAGAAGATAAGAATGCTGAGGAGAAATCCCCCTTAGATGGTAAGATGGCATTGCTATTACATCATAAAAATTCTCTTATCTGTTGGAAACTAATTAAATGTGCAATATCTATTTCAAATAAAAGCTTCTGTAAATGTCAAGATTTTTTGTTTAAATAGAAATGTATATTTTTCATCCAAGGAGAATTATAGTGTAGCTCTGGCCAAAACAATTTTTAACTACGTATGGATATGTAGAAGGGTCATAATTTCTATTAGAATTTTATTGCTGTCTGTGTTCTCCTTGGGGAGATTTCTCCTTACTTCCTCTTGTGTCACAGTGACGAAAAGGGAGGGGAAAGCTCTCCATCAGGGAGAGACAGCAAAGAAAACTTGACAGCCTCCCTCGCTTTTTTATTTACACTCACATCAAAGATCTATATTCAGACAAAAAGGTTAAAAAAGAAAAACAATGTACAAAAGGGGCAGACTTGATGGACTACGTGGTCTTTTTTTCACATTTATGTACATGCAAATCGAGCTGTCCGATTGGCTGTAACAGATGATTGAGAAAAAATTTCCAATGTGTCCCTTTGACAGAAGTCGCTCAAAAAGATCGATTTCTGTTGAGCAAGGATGGCCACACACTAATCGAAATTTGTTCGGTCCTGATGAGAAATTATGTATTCCATCTGATTTCTCTGACCTCATTGATGTATTCAGTCAAACTTTATCTGGACCTTTTTTCTTCTTGGTCTAACTCTACAAATGTCTATTGCATCAGTATAAACCAATTGTTTAAACCAACGTTTTCAATATAGAGGAACCCTAGAAATAACTTTCAGGTCTCAGGGAACCCGTTTAAAAATGGCTATATCTACAACACATGATATATTAGTGTGATAAGCAGTGGAAAAAATGCTCTCTGTGTTTTTTGGGAAGAAGTACTCTTTTATAGATAGCTAAAAAGATCAATGGTGTCAGTGGGAACTTATCTGAGAGGCAGAAATTGCTCATTGCTCAAGGAACCCTTAGCAACCTCTGGAGGAACCCTAGGGTTCCATGGGACCCTGGTTGAGGAACTCTGGTCTAAACGGTGTACCACTGGAAGTCTTAATCTTAATAAATCTTTTGTAAAAGAAAATAAATTTGTCTGGTCCTTGCTGGACTGGCCAAGTTTCAATCAGTGTATGGCCAACTTAGGACTTCCCTGTCGAATACAGGGGAACAATGGTGCACAGACAGCATAGTGACCTGTAAAAGTACAGCTAGAAATTCAGGGAAGCTTCCCTTTTTCTTCTGTTACTAAGCCAAATTCTTCTTTGTTTGTGTCTTCTACCCTCCCCCTCCCAGACACTGCAGCTCACAATGGGAGGGTTACACCAACAGGGGCAGTGCTGCCAATCCAGAAAGCAGTGGGCAGGACTAGGCGTGGCCTGGTGCTGATTGACACATTGCAGTCTTGTGAATCAGCAATGGCAATGTGCTGATAGCCACACAAACTGCCACTGTGGGGGGTCTCAAGACCATGGCCATCTGTTCACACTGGCACAGCCCCAGGTGCAAAGGGAATCACATGTGGAGCAGATGATCAGTGCAGCGGGTGGTATAAATATCTAAAACTGATCTTTTGTGACATCTCCTGCTCCAGCTGCTGCAGTGAGAGCCAAAAAAAATTGGTTTCAGTTATTTACCCCACCCGTGCTGCACTGTTCGCTATTGGATTTTCCTCTGTGCCTAAATCCCTCCCTCCTCCCCCCATGTCTCCATCCCCTGCAGCGCTGCTGGCTTCCCTCCTCTCTCACTGGCAGCAGCTGCAGACACACAGGGGGAACTTCAGGATGGATAAATATGTCAGGATAAATGTAGGCCCCTTCCAACACAGTGAGTGATCGGTACTGATCACTCACTGTATTTATTCATTACTGACGCATAGTAAACTATGTTTACTATGCTTCAGTTTATGAATGGGCAGGAGCCTCTGCCTCCTGTTAATTCATCTGCAGTGCAGCTGAGGCTACAGAAAAAGGGAATGTGTCCTTGGTCCCTTTCTCTGTCTCAAAAGTGAGACTTCAGGAGTCTGTTTAGACCCCTGATATATCACCAAAGACCCCCCAACAGCACTGTTAAAAAATAAATTAAATTAAAAAATTGTAAAAAAAATTAAATTGTAAAAAATCTGACAAAAATTTCCAAATCGGACTAAAAATCCATGCCCAGTATGTGCCATAATTTATCCACACCCACTGTTTACCACAGCCTGCATAGCGCACCGCAGGTCACGATCTTCCAGGTAGGGGCCCCAGTGCATTATTTTGCCCAGGAGCCCATGATGCTGTTAAGATTGCACTGCCCAAAATGGCAGGAAGAGGGCCCACTGTAGAATATGTGAAAAGGTCCCACTGCGGGACTATATGAAAGGGCCTGTCGATGGTAGTAAAAGGCCCTGGGATCAGTGGGAGGGCCCCAGGCCAGGAGAGAAGGGCCCTAGGCTTGGAGGTAAGGGCCCAGGGACCAATGGAAAGAGCCCCAAGGGGGGCCCTTCGTGGTTTCTTGTACCAGGGCCCAGAAGGTTCTAGTTACTCCTATGAATCACAGAAAAGTGTAGGTGGACTTCACTGGCAATCAATATAAATATATGGCAATCAATAAGTATTTGTGGGACTTTGCAGGGGACTAAGAGAAAACTGTGAGCGCAGATACCCTTATAATTAAGTGCATATTTTGTAATACAAGGACATAGTTCTGTAAAAAATAAATGGAAGTGGAAAAAATAACAGATTTACCCCCAGAGTCAACAAGTAATAAAAGTATGTTGAAGGGGGGCTCAGGAAAAAACACAAAATCTGCCATGGTCATACCACCTAGTCATTGTTTATCCTGTCCATAGTTTCACTTCAATTAGTTGGAGTGGAGGGATCAGGTTATTTTCTCAGGATGGTGTAATTTGCTTTCTTTAAAACTGAATTCCTGGTATGATCTTTATTGCATAAGTTACAATGGTCCAGTTTGGCACAAAGTGAGCATGTATATCTCAAACCTGATGGGTCGCTGTGGGCACTACATTAATTGCATCAATCTTCCAGGTCCTGTGCCAACTGCACACTGACCACAACGGGTCATTCTCTCTGCACTGCCGCCATTTATGGAACACCTTGTATTATTTTCAGTGAATACAAGGCATTCTCTGACTGGGTGAAGTAGAGATTGTGACATAACTGCCCTCCTCTCATCCAATCAGAGAATGCCTTACTTTCCTTGATGAAAATACAATGCATTCTATGAATGGTGGTGTGCCAAGCAAGTGAGCCTTGTGGTCAGTATGCAGAGAGGAAGCCACAAAGAACAGGACCTGGCAGATTGTGGTGATCACTGTAGTACTGCTGATTAGGGATGACCCCAATGTGCCTGGGTTCAGTTCAAGGTTCTGTGAACAATGAAGTACAGGTGCTGAATCTGAACCCCATTAAAGTCAACAGGAGCCAACAATTAAAAATCAATAATGCAATTTTCTAGGCTATAAGGCAAGAGACTGCCAAACAAATGACATGGGGCTGGGTACCACCCTGGGGAACATATACCAAAGCAAAAAATAAAATAAGAAAATCCAGTTTGGCTGGGAATAGCAAATTTATTAGTATTTAAAGGGCGACATTAACATTATATAGTTCTTTTAAAAAGCATGTCTGGGGGATGCCCTGACTTTGCCTGTGTAGTGGCGCATCTGTTTAATGTATACAACCTACTACAGCAAAACTGACAAAGAAAAAAAAAAATGCCAAATTGCCAGCAAATGACAGTTTTTGGCTGCTTTACTCCTGTTTATATACAAATAGCCAGAGATTCCCTTCATTTATACAAGACCTTATCTTAGATAGGGGTCTGGTATAAATGTTAATGGGGGACTCCACCACACACAATAAAAACAGTGTGGTGTTCCCCCCAAAATACATACCAGACCCTCATCCCTGATGAGTCGCAACAATCTAGAAAAAAAAAAGCATATGATCCCCCCCAAGAAATCCACACCAGACTCCTCTTTGAGCATGCAGCCTGGCAAGACAGAAAGTAGGGGTGCATACCAGGTCACATACTCCTGGGTGATGTAATTGACTACATATGGACATGACCATATTTTGTTAATGATGTCACTACAATCCCAGGTGCTGCTTCCTTAACAACAATTGACGGCGGAAGAAGGAACTGTCATACATTGGATAAAGGCAGGAGAAAAAACTCACTATATATAAAGTTCTGCTCCTGCAAAAAGGGCTAAAGGTGCGGCATTCGTAGAACTGCCTAAACTGGCAAAATCCACTCTGAACTTTCAAATGCTTTGGAAATTGCCTAACAAATACCTTACCTGGTGAAAATGAGCACTTACATATTGCCATTCTCCACTTCCAACTTTTATCAATCAGAAAAAAGAAAAATCCCCCCAAAATGCAACTATTTCTCAAATCTTTGTAGAAATGCCCTTCTGTCTGTTTTTTGAATAGCTGCTTGTCTAAAGCAGACCATATGTGATTAATTTTTTTGTTTAACCAGCAGGTTGAAGGAAAAATATGATCCGATTCCCCCATCCACACATTTGATGTGGATGGTAGAATCATTCACGTTGAGCTATTGTATTCCGACAGTGGGGAGCCTTCCCCGTTGGCAGAATACAATGAGTAGTGTTGCTGACTATAGCTGCCGGCACTGATTGTTCAGGAAAAACCCGACAGGCTGATTGTACACAAGTCGATCGATAAATTGACTTGTGTACAACCAGCTAGCCCATATATGGATCAAAATTTGTCTGGTCCCTGCTGAACCAGCCGAATTTCTAACCATGTATGGCTGGCTTAGTTGCTCCTAGGCATGGATAGATTTTCTTTAACTACTCAATGTAGTCAATGTAGAGGAGCTGAGGCTGTTTTATTCTTTTTTTTTTTTTTTTTTTTTTAAATTTGTATCAAGGATGAGCGTATGTCTACCATGATAGCTTGTGGAAGACACGATTGTCAGTCCTGTATGATTGACAGGTCATTTAAACAGTTTTCCATCTTATGAGGTGTTTTAATCCCACCAGTCACTTTTAATTTTCTGCTCAGCACAGATGCGCACAGCCCGAGACTTGCTTGTTACTTCCATTGCCCGACGCGTCAGCGCACAGGAAACAGCTACGTTCTAACATGCTGCAATGTAATGAATAATACATCTTCTCCTCTTCCTCCTAGTGCTGAAACGAGCTACCATTAAGAAAAGTAAAAACGATCTCATCCATGCAGAAGAGGGCGAAGATCACTTTAACGATATCTGCTCTGTAGGTGAGTTGGCCAGCCTGCGGTTACTGTTTTAGGAACATTCTCAAGATGCATCTTCTGGGTTCCCAAACCCTGGTAGGTCATCTAATGTCATGCAGATTACCTAAAGAGTATGTAGCATGATTAAATGTGGCCACATATGTTACAGTTCATTTCTGACTAAATAACCAATTATACGAGTAATACAATCATCAAAAATGTTTTGCCTCCAAACAGTTTTGTAATCCATTTCGGCCAGCCTTACGATTCACCCAACTGTGCTTTACTGCAACGATTCACCCTATCTCAGATTCACCCAACTCTGCTTCATTGCAAAGATTCATCCATCTCAGATTCACCCAACTCTGTTTCAGTGCACTCTGCTTCACTGTATAGATTCACCCAACTCTGCTTCACTGCAAAGATTCATCCATCTCAGATTCGCTGAACTCTGCAGTAAAGCAGAGTTGGGTGAATCTATGCAGTGAAGCAGAGTTCAGCGAATCTGAGATGTTTCAGTGAACTCTCTTTGCAGTGAAGCAGAGTTGGGTGAATCTATACAGTGAAACAGAGTGCACTGAAACAGAGTTGGGAATCTATACAGTGAATCTGAGATGAGATGGATGAATCTTTGCAGTGAAGCAGAGTTGGGTGAATCTATGTAGTGAAGCAAAGATTCACCCAACTCTGCTTTACTGCATAGATTCACCCAACTCTGCTTTACTGCATAGATTCACCCAACTCTGCTTTACTGCAAAGATTTACCCAACTCTGCTTTACTGCATAGATCCACCCAACTCTGCTTTACTGCATAGATTCACCCAACTCTGCTTTTACTGCATAGATCCACCAAACTCTGCTTTACTGCATAGATTCACCCAACTCTGCTTTTACTGCATAGATCCACCAAACTCTGCTTTTACTGCATAGATCCACCCAACTCTGTTTTACTGCATAGATTCACCCAACTCTGCTTTTACTGCATAGATCCACCAAACTCTGCTTTACTGCATAGATTCACCCAAATCAGATTTACCCAGCTCTGCTTCACTGCATAGGCAGCAGGGTGACAAAGCTATTCACTCCTATAAGTTAGCAGCTTTCTGTGACACCTGCCGGCACTAAAATTGTCATGTTGTTGATGCCCTCCCAGGTTCTCTCTTCTTTCCCTATGCTGCCTAAATGCTTCCGGTGCCAAGTGCCTGAAACATGTTAGGTAGATAGCACCGTGCAAAGTGATAGAGACCAGCTGACTCAATAAAGGGCCTCCCACCCTCAATACAGCTTGTGCTGTGCAGGGGGTTTGTGGAAAGAAGGTATACAGATAGATTTCAGATATTCATATTATACTGCTGCTGTAAGCAAGGTCAGAAAAATAAAGGGGTGAGTCTGACAGCAGTCATTGAAGTGGGTCTGTGAGTGGAGTTTTGTGATTATGGATTACTTTGTGATCTGTCCACTGTGAGGCATGGCGGTAATGTTATATGACCAATGATGGCCACCAGAGCCAAGAATTTTAGTTGAAAGAATTAAAAATATATACATGTCAGCACTACAGATCTTCTGTGTCCTCTTTACAGCTACATCCTGTCTAGATGTATACTCTCCACCAACTGCAGCACATTTCTCTTGTCATGGCTAACCCTGGAACTTTCCAATATAAGCAATTTATTCAAGGGACAGGCCCTACACAAGTGCTACTATATTTATAAATATTACTTGTGTCAATTTAAGATCATGTTTGTCCTTGCAGTATAGGCAGGACAATGGTCGAAAACATCCCTGGGGGTACTGTTCCTTTTTACTACAACAGTCTTCCTTTAAATGACAGCTCCAGTCTAGAGGAAAAGCTTTCACACATCCATTTTAATCAATCCTGATCAACATTTAATCCATTTTAATCTATCTTACTATTCAGTGAGATAGAATTCTCATGCTGAGAACTCAAATTAATGCCAGAATAATTACAGCCCAGATTTGAGTAACCGCATACTATTACAGAAAAACTATTATCGGGATACAATTTTCAGTGTGGTAAAAAATTAATAAATTTCACTCTAAATTTAATAGGAAACACACTCTGCCTGTAGAACAATTCTGAGTGACCTTTCACTGAAACATCTATTTAGCCCAGTGGTGCTTAGTCGGCAGCTCAGGAGCCCAATGAGGCCCCTAGTACTACCGCTGCGGCACTCCTAAAGCTACTGATTGATGTGAGATGTCGACCATGTCTGAAAATGGCCAGATGTGGCTACCATTTCGTTTCCACTGGCTAGCATTTGTATGGTACAACAGCCAATTGTCAACCCCAGATAATGTTTTACTGCCAGTGATAAAGGTACCAAGAGCACATGCCAGTGATTCCTATCTCCCCTTGCTGCCTCCAATGACAAAAACACTAAGATTCAACCAAGCCTGATGTTCAGGTTTATAGGTACAATGGCAGATGGTGGTCTCTAAAGACAGACAGATTAGCATGCATATTCAGCCACCTTTAGACGTCTGAGGGCACCTTTAACTTTCTAGAAAGGAAACTTTGTTAAAGGATCGATCTACCCAGAAGTCATAAGGTACAGTTGCAAGAAAAAGTATGTGAACCCCTTGGGATTACGTGGAGTTTTGCATGAATTGGGCATAAAATGTGCTCTGAACGTCATCTAAGTCACAACAATAGAAGAACACAGTCTGCTGAACATAATACTACACAAACATTAGATGTTGCCATGGTTTAATTGCACATAACATGTAAACATTCACAGTACAGGGAGGAAAAAGTATGTGAACCTTTGGACTTAATAACTGGTTGACCCTCCTTTGGCAGCAATAACCTCAACCAAACGTTTCCTGTAGTTGCAGATCAGACCTGCACAACGATCTGGAGTCATTTTGGACCACTCCTCTTCACAAAACTGTTTCAGTGTAGCAATATTCTTGGGATGTCTGGTGTGAATCGCTCTCTTAAGGTCATGCCACAGCATTTCAATCGGGTTGAGGTCAGGACTCTGACTGGGCCACTCCAGAAGGCGTATTCTGTGCTGTTGCAGCCATTGTTTTGTTGAATTACTTGTATGCTTTGGGTCATTGTCCTGTTGCATCACCCATCCTCTGCGGAGCTTCAGTTGGCGGACAGATGGTCATACATTTTTCCTGCAAAATGTCTTGATAAACTCTGGAATTCATTTTCCCATCGATGACAACAATCCGTCCAGGCTCTGAGGCAGCAAAGCAGCCCCAAACCATGATGCTCCCTCTGCCATGTTTCACAGTGGGGATGAGGTTTTGATGTTGGTGTGCTGTGCCTTTTTTTCTCCACACATAGTGTTGTGTGTTCTTCCCAAACAACTCAATCTTGGTTTCATCTGTCCACAGTATATTCTGCCAGTAGTGCTGTGGAACATCCAGGTGCTCTTTTGCAAACTTCAAACGTGCTGCAATATTCTTTTTGGACAGCAATGGCTTCCTCCGTGGTGTCCTCCCATGTACTCCATTCTTGTTTAATGTTTTCCTTATTGTAGATGTGTCAACAAAAATGTTAGCATGTGCCAGAGATTTCTGTAGGTCTTTAGCTGACACTCTGGGATTCTTCTTTACCTCATGCAGCATTCTGCGCTGTGCTCTTGCAGTCATTTTTACAGGACGACCACGCCTAGGGAGAGTAGCAACAGTGCTAAACTTTCTCCATTTGTAGACAGTCTGTCTTACCGTGGACACATGAACATCAAGGCTTTTGGAGATACTTTTGTAACCCTTTCCAGCTTCATGCAAATCAACAAATCTTGATCGTAGGTCTTCTGAGAGCTCTTTTCTGCGAGGCATGGTTCACATCAGACAGTGCTTCTTGAAACCAGTAAACCCAAAACAGGTGTGTGTTTTTTAAGGGCAGGACAGCTGTCAGCAACACATCCAATATCCTCACACTGATTGGAGTCAAGGTTGGCTCACTCCTGGCTCCAATTAGCTCTGGGAGAAGTCATTAAGCTAGGGCCTCACATACTTTTTCCTCCCTGCACTATGAATGTTTACATGTTATGTGCAATTAAACCATGGCAACATCTAATGTTTGTGTAGTATTATGTTCAGCAGACTGTAGTCTTCTATTGTTGTGACTTAGATGACGTTCAGAGCACATTTTATGCCCAATTCATGCAAAACTCCACGTAATCCCAAGGGGTTCACATACTTTTTCTTGCAACTGTAGTAGGAAGAGGAACCTTCTGAGTTAAGTCAACACCTGGCTTCTTAAATGCCTCAAACGCTCCAGCAGTTGGATCTTCTTGCCATAAATCCTAATTCTCTTTCTACCCACCTGGATGCTGTGGATGTTTCCGCTTCACAGCATGTCCTTTTATATTCTCCATGATAAATACATAGGAAATCCAACAGGGATGGTAAAAACACCTCATAATGGCCACAGCAGGTGTTCAGGTCTGGGGACACGGAGATCTCATCAATAGAGTCCGTGAGAGATGTAAGAAACTATTAGGGAGTTTAACTTCTCAGCAATCACCAAACACTGAAATGTCAGTTTTAGGTGGTCAGACCCAATTTACAGTCATTGAGAGTAGCCTAGGGTGACAGTGCTGCTTCTCCATAAAAACAGTACATTGAGGGGTTATTATCACTTTAGACAGGAAATGTGTTACTGGCAGGATCACCTGGGTAAAATAATGGGAAGGAGTTTGAAAAAAGGAAAGCTTTGCTAACCTTTTGAGAATGCTAGTTTTCTGGCTGTCGGTGGCTGCAGTACTTAATCACTAAAAGAGAACAAATATGCAAACTCCTAATCCCGACACCTGGTCGGTGGCTCCACAGGTATTGCAGCCATGGATCTGCTTGACAGCCAGACACTAGCATTTACAAAAGCACAGGTGAGCAATGGCAAGCAATGTTTACAATATAGCTCTCCGTACAGGTTTGCCGTTAAATCAGTTATAGTACAAGCAATCCTCTCCCTGATGCTATTAAGCGATTTGCAGCCCTGAGCTCATTATCTTCCACAGAAGAGCCAATAACAATATAAATGG